ATGACACTGTGTACTAAAAGTGGAAAACCACATACCACGCGGCAGCTCCAGATCCCAACTGGTGTCGGACTCCTAGAGTAAAATGACCCATGCACTGACAAAATCTGTTTTTTCTTTCACAGCAATTTGCTAGAATCTGTTCGATTTCAGATAGGCGATCATAGGCGCCAGTCATTCTATTCTTTCTTAAAAGGGGTGACTTGAGTAGTCGATTTCAGACAGGCGATCGTAGGCGCCAGTCATTCTATTCTTTCCTAAAAGGGGTAACTTAACTTCAGTAGAGTAACAGAAAGGGGTAGTTATAATTGCACTATGGGGCAAGATACAGTTTGCAATAATTATTGCACTTCAGTCAACCTACCTGGCCAGAAAGATGGGTTGTATACATTGCCCGAATTGCAATTCAAAACTTGAAACTTTATCTTGGCCCCTAGTACAATTATAACTCTTTTTTTTTCGACTCCCACAATGAGCCACATGTTAGTTTCCCCTTCTTACAAGAACCAAAGATAGGCTTGCCATAAAAAAAAAAAAAAAAAAAACTTACTAAAAAGATTCCTCGTTGCGAATCTGTGGCACTGAAGCTAGGCCTAGTACAGAGTCACTTTCATACCGCTTTCATACCGTACATTTCCCGTCAGTGCCGTCACATCCACTCCGGGATCCAAGGGAGTTCTTCCTTCAGGGTGTGTAGAGTAAAACCCTGTGTTAAACTCCGGACCGTCTGGTGGCCTGGCCTTCGTCTGGCAGGGGTCCCCGGCGGCCCGGCCGGTTGGGTGCCACGGTCTGGGGCCAGACGAGCCCAGTGCAATTTCGTGCGGGGGACGACCAGTTTTAGCGGGCGGAGAAGGTCTTCTTCGACGACTGATCCCAGTCGCCGATCTGCAAAGATCAGTGGCTGAGATCAGCCGCCAAGAAAGTTTTTTTTTTTTTTTTTTTTGATCTACGACCAGTTTTAGGGGGCGGGGAAGGTCTTCTTCGACGACTGATCCCAGTCGCCGATCTGCAAAGATCAGTGGCTGAAATCAGCCGCCAAGAAATGGGTTCCCCCTCTGGTGGGCTACGACGGCGCGTTCGAATTCAAACACGGCATTCCCCATTGTGAACCCCGTTCACAACCGCACAGACTTCTTCTTCTTCTTCTTCTTCTTCTTCTTCTTCTTCTTCTTCTTCCGATATTTTTACTTTCTTTTTTCCCTAGCTGTTGGTCCTTGCATCCTCTACTTCCGCGACATTATGGCGGGCAGTGGCAGCGGTGTCGTCGGGGGGAGGGGCGGGTCTGAAAGGACGAGAGCAGACAAAGGATGTGGCGTCTTCTTCTTCTTACTCCCCCTCCTCTAACCCCTCCCCTCAGCGCACTGGCTGCTGCAACACCCCCTTTTACCCCCTTGTCAACCCCCCCCCCTTCCCCCCTCCCCCATCACACATGCCTTTCACAAGTTTCTCTGCGGATTTGGGCTCCTCTCAGCGAGTGCAGTCCAACCCCATCTTCAAAAAAAAAATAAAAAAATTCATGGCATGTTCTTTGGCTCGTCTGGTTTTGCCAGACAGACCCCCCCCCAGTCCGTCTGGCCCGCTCCGTCTGCACCGTGCGTCGGCCTAACCCAGGTAAAACCTGCTTACAAGGCTAACCAGATACCTAGACCCCTTCCCCCAAATACAGCGTACGGTCAATATATTATAGCTGTATTTGGGGCATCTTTCAGTCTAAATACAGCTATAATGACCGTACGTTGTACTCGGGGGAAGAAGGTAGACCCCTTCCCATTTACTGGTGAAGTAGCCACTGGCAGTGCTTTTTCCTGTTACCTGGTCTTTTTCGAGTTAGGCAGCCATTATAGCGGTTCGAGATGTCGTTTAGTCCTCTGCCCCCAAAATACGATAGGTGATCTGTGCCAACAACGACGCTAGGGGGAGTGATATGAGCATCCCCTCCTAGCGGGCCACCTGGTTGCTCCGATCTATTGGTGGGTGGGCAGCAGCACCTGCTGGAAAACGGGTCCAGCGTCCCACCGAACATCTTCAGAACATCTTCAGGACTGATTTTCACGCAGTCTCCTGCCAGCATTGATTGCCCGTATTACCACGGATTGACCGCACAGGCCCTGTCCCACCTGGCAGTGACCAAAAGATACGGTGCTAGGCCTACGAAAAGCGACTAGGTAGACGATGCTGTGTGTAGGTGGCCACTCCATTTCTGTCGCTTCAACACTCGGACGGAGGCCTTGATGGTATTGACCAACAGCAGGCAGAGGGCCGAAGGCCAGCATGCATTCTCGCATGCTTCTCCAAGTGCACAAGGCCGAAGGGACGCAGGGTATGCTTCCCCAAAAACGACCGCTCTGCGAGCCGCCTCATCTCCTATAAGCGCCAGGGGGGACAACATCCAACTGGTCCCTCCCAGCCCAGTATATCGAGAGTGTGGCCTTCTTGTGGACGGCCGCAAGTTTCAGAAATTGTACTGGTGGTTTAACGGCTGCCCTAAGATAAAGGAAAGAATAATGTTTGGGGGTTGGCCCTCAGTCCTTTGCTTTTTATGCCCTCCACCCCACCCCCCAACGCGCACACACACACAATACCTCTCCCTGTATTCGGCTATGGGTTGGCGGTGCAACTTTCAGGGGTCAGTGCTGCTTGTCAGGCCATTAATGAAATTCATCAACAGCGGCCCCAACCCCCGAAAGTTGCAGCAAAAGCATGGCCAGGTTATAAAAAAAAAAAAAAAAAAAAAAGGTCTAACAAAAACAAAAGGAAAAACGCAGAAATACATGCAGCAACTCCTCAATTAGATGCTGAGGCAAACAAGTTGCTGCCTGGACAAAAAAAAAAAAAAAAAAAAACCTCCACTGCTCACTTTGTACACGCATGACTTGTTGAAACACAGACGGAAGTTCGAATCCAGATCGAACTAGTTCAATAAAATTTTTTATTTTTTGAATTACCTGGGGGAAAAAAACCCTTCCGTACAAAGTTACAAAACCCTTTTTACGGAAAAAAAAAACTGCAAAAAAGTTGAATTGCATGTGATTTCAAATCATTTCATTCTTTTATCAAGTATATGAAAGAGCGATGTGAGAAAAAATGAAATCTCGGTTATGTACAGTGGATCTCCAACAGATGAACATAGAAATCGAGTCGCTGACACAAGGGTAAAACCGTAAAAGACAACGTAACACCGAGCCCAAATACATAACTGCTGTCATAATCACAAATCACTGGCCAGTGGTCATTCAAATTTTAAAATTTTTAGATAGAACGATTCGATTTAGATACCGACTCTGACAGTCGACAAGCAAAGCGGAACTTGGAAAAACAGTCTAACATACATCGGCCGATTCCGGCGATTCGGCTTTAATTAACATTTAACAAATCTCCGACCGTGCCCCCCTTCCTTCCTCCCGTTCGCTCTCCACAGTTCGCACTTCAAAATTCCCCTTTATCCTCTTCCTCACTGCCATCCAGGCTTCTCCTCTACCTCCCAACATAATTTTCTCCCTCCTCATCCTCAATTCCTAATGCGCTTCATCTCTTCCTCCTGCCCCTCAGCGATCAAATTTCACCGTCCTCCCTACCACACCTCCCTCCTACTCCTCCCTTGCTGCTGTGCCTGTCTCTTATACACATCTAGATGTGTATAAGAGACAGGCCAAAAGCTGGATATCAAGAAAGATTCCAAGGA